TTCCTTCCTTCCTTCCTTCCTTCCTTCCTTCCTTCCTTCCTTCCTTCCTTCCTTCCTTCTGCTCTTCTTCCAGTTAAGTACAATGTGACTTTTACAAGTACTCTTGGTTTTGGGATAGAGTGTAGTCAACATATCATTAAGAAAACTGACTGTCCCTCACAATGAAAATAGCAAATCCCTAAGATTGGGTGGGTAGCCCCATCCCACAACTGGGGACTATGCCTATCTACTGGAGATGGTATCTGCAGGTTATATTTCACCTTTGTTGGAAATTTTGGTTAATGGCATCCCAGTTGTGTCCTGAGAACCTCTTACTTCCCTCACTTCAGGAATTTTCTAGTGGCTACCCTACTTCCCCATCCCCTACTACATATTTCTGTTTAATTTCCTGAACCTATGAAGCCTAGAATTGTTCCTATCTAAAGTAAGTGAAAAAAACAAAATATTGAACAGAGTCTGAAGGAAAGGCCATACAGAAACTACCCCACCTAGGGATCCATCCCACCTGCAGACACCAAACCCTGACAGACACTATTGATGATGCCCAGAAGTGCTTGCTGACAGGAGCCTAATATAGCTGTCCCCTGAGAGGTTCTGCCAACACTTGACCAATATAGATGCAGATACTCACAGCCAACCATCAGACTGAGCTTTGAGACCCCCATGGAAGAATTAGGGGAGAGACTGAAGAAGCTGAAGAAGATTGCAACCCCATAGGAAGGACACCAATATCAACTAACCTGAGCACCCAGAGCTCCCAGGGAACTAAACCATCAACCAAAGAGTACACATGGATGAATCCATGGCTCCAGCTATATATGTAGTAGACGATTGCATTTTCTGGCATCAAAGGGAGGACAGGCCGTTTGTTTTGTAGAGGTCCTGTGGAGTATTGGGAGTGGATGGGGGAGCACCCTCACAGAGGCAAAGGGGAGGAGATGATGGAATGGGAGTTTTGCAGAGTGGAAACCTGGAAGAGAGACAACATTTGAAATGTAAATACGTAAAATAACCAATAAAAAAAGAAAATAACAAATTTCAATAGCTAACTATAAGCTAGTGTTTCGTATTCATATCTACCTACACTACTTTCATTACTACCTTACATACTCAAACTTTTTCTGGGCGCTCGGCATTTCAGCGCCGGCAGGGTGCTGAGGATCAGGCGCCCCTCAGCCGCAGGCCGCCTCCAGCGCCGGGGGATGTAGTGCCCGGGCCCGCGGCCCCCATCAGAGGCAGCCAGCCAGGCCTGTCCTCATCACAGGAAGATCTCTGCCCTCTGGGGCTGAAAGACTCCAACCTTTCCTCAAGCTGAAGCTTCAAGGCACTGAAGTACCAGCCAGATGTCTTCCCACAAAGGATCTGCTGTGGCACAGGGCAATGGGGCTCCTTCTATTAACAGAGAAGCTGACACAGTGAAGCTGGCTGAGCTGGGACCCCTGCTGGAGGAGAAGGGCAAGCGGGAAGCCACGAGCCCAGCCAAGGCTGAAGAAGAACAGACATGCTCAGTGCCACAAGAAGAGGAGGAGGAGGTGCGGGTACTGACGCTTCCTCTGCAAGCCCACCATGCCATGGAGAAGGTGGAGGAGTTCGTATATAAGGTCTGGGAGGGACGCTGGAGGGTCCCGTATGATGTGCTTCCTGACTGGCTGAAAGACAATGACTACCTGCTACATGGCCACAGACCACCTATGCCCTCCTTCCAGGCTTGCTTCAAGAGCATCTTCCGCATCCACACAGAAACGGGCAACATCTGGACACATCTGCTTGGTTTTGTGCTATTTCTCTTTCTGGGAATCTTGACCATGCTCAGACCAAATATGTACTTCATGGCTCCCCTACAGGAGAAGGTGGTCTTTGGGATGTTCTTCCTGGACGCAGTGCTTTGCCTCAGCTTCTCCTGGCTCTTCCACACCGTCTATTGTCATTCAGAAAAGGTCTCTAGGACTTTTTCCAAACTGGACTATTCAAGGATTGCTCTACTGATCATGGGGAGTTTCGTCCCCTGGCTCTACTACTTCTTCTACTGCTCCCCACAGCCACGGCTCATCTACCTCTCCATCGTCTGTGTCCTGGGCATCTCTGCCATCATTGTGACACAGTGGGACCAGTTTGCCACTCCTAAGCACTGGCAGACAAGAGCAGGAGTGTTCCTGGGACTTGGCTTGAGTGGTGTTGTACCCACCATGCACTTTACTATCACTGAGGGCTTTGTCAAGGCCACCACAGTGGGCCAGATGGGCTGGTTCTTCCTCATGGCTGTGATGTATATCACCGGAGCTGGCCTTTATGCTGCTCGGATTCCTGAGCGCTTCTTTTCTGGAAAATTTGACATATGGTTCCAGTCTCATCAGATTTTCCACTTCCTGGTGGTGGCAGCAGCTTTTGTCCACTTCTATGGGGTGTCCAATCTTCAGGAATTTCGTTATGGCCTAGAAGGTGGCTGTACCGACGACTCCCTTCTCTGAGCCTTCCCACCTGAGGGGTGGAGGAGGAACTTCCCAAGTGCTTTTTAAAATAAACTTCTTTCCTGAAGTACGTACGAGGAAGAGTCTGAGTTGTCTGTTTCTAGAAGAAACCTCTTAGAGAAGTCAGTACCAGTGAGGCTTCAGCTAGCTGTCAAAGCCTCGGGGCAGTACACTTCCCATGTGCATTCCCTGCAGTCACCTCAGTAAGGCAACTGCTGCTCCTTCACAGATAGGACGTGTGGGCTCATGTTGAGATTTTGCTCATTCCTCCAGCCATTTTGGGAGAAAAATTATGAACTGGGATTCTTCAGAAATTCTGTTTTGTTTTTTCTTGAAGAAAATATCCCTCCCTTACCCCCGTCCTTACTTTGTAACCTGGCTAATAACGGGCCATCCAGTTTTTGTAGCACACTTTTCAGAAACAATTATAACCTGGTCAAACAAAGCCACGCCTTGATGTAGCCCGGCTAGTCATGGAAGTATGTCCAGGCTTCAAGTAACTTGAGTTTAAATTTTTTTTCTTGGCAGAGTAATGTAAAATTAAAATGGGGAAGATATTTAATATTTAATACTAAGCTTTAAAAAGAAACCTGCTATCACTGCTATATATCTTGATGCAAATACTATGGTGATAATAAAAGAAAGTACAGACAAGGGAAAAAAAACTTTTTCTGGCTTGAACATGTGATTGTCTTGTGTATATTGTAACAATCACTAAAAGCTTTTGTTTTTAACTCCCCTAATGTATCCAGAAAACTATGTTTCCTGGGATTCCTTTACCATATTTGACTCTTGGAATCCCTCTGTTCCCTTTGTCACAAAGATCTCTGAGGCTTGTGGTATGATATGTATATTAGACACAGGACTGAACATTCCACTTACATATTACTTGCAAGACTAGTTGTTGGTTTCTATTGATTTCATTTTACTGCATAAACCAGCTTTTGAGAGATATACTGATATGTATTTATATATGTAAGTTAATAAAAATCATTTTAATACAGTGTCGATTTTTAACAACAATAGTATTGGGTTCACTTTTAGGCCTTTTGAACTACCTAGATACAAGTTCTTAGCCCTTTTTCTTAAAGCTTTGTTGTGTACATATTTCATCTGCTGGAATGGAAAGTATAGCCAGTAAAAATATATCTTTTAATTTTACATCATCTAATACTTCTTCAGTGTTAGGAAATGTAGAATTCCCTAATATAGAGTTGGCTTTCAGTGGCTTAAGAACACTAGATATTATTATGGGTACTTTTTTTTAAGGTTTAAGCTTCTTCTTTGAAACTACAGACTTCATTCTATCTAGAATTGAATGTATATATAGGTAGGCAGTCCACTCATAGACTTAGCAGAAGTATGCTTTTAAATTTAACTTCTAATCATTTCATCATTTCTTTATTAACAAAAGATGATATATATTTTATTTTTAAATATCTATAATCTGCTTTGGGGTAATTATAAAAATGTCTAAATCAACACTGAAATATTAGTATAGTGCCTTTTTAATCCATACTAACTTTCCAACATAAATATTGAACTATACAAATATTCAGAGAACTTATTTCAGGTAGCTTGTGATGGACAGTACTATAACAATCTTATTCAACTCCCAATATACATACAGAAATATTTTGATCAGTTTTAATTTTACAATCATTTAACTTTAGAATAAACTTTTAAAAATATAGTCCTATTTCATAAGTGAAGGTAATAAAGATTACATGGACAACAAAATAGATTATAGGTATTTTACTGTACAACAATCATCCAATTTAAGATTAAAAGATTCAAAATAAACATACTCATGGCTCAATTCTATATGAACTTGTCAAAAACAAGCAACTCTCTATACAATTGGTAATCAACCCACAGAGCTTTGCATAGACACTAATAACCTTAGAATTTTTCAAAATGCTCAAGTAGAAAGGCAAAATATACAAAGAAGGAGAAAACTTTATTCCTTCAATGTCTGTATGCACAACCCACTAAAAATTATGCCTACTGTCAAATATGAACCAAACTTTGGAACAGAAATAATTGTTTCTTACTTAGAGCAGAGGCATGTACTCTAACGTTCAGATTATACATAGTGCATACCATTTTATATGAATTAAATTGTGTGAGGCTAAGAATAACAGGATTCTTATGCAGCTGTTTTATTGTAGGCAGAAAAATCAAATAAGTATACACTAATTTTATGACATAAAACAATGAAGCATTGCTGCTGACTACTAGAAATTGACAACAATCAATCAATGTGACATGCCACAATTAGAAGTGAGGGAGCTGTAATTGAGCAAATGTGTCTTCTGGCTTGTAAGTGAAGGGGCAGATTCATAAGCAGTGACAAGATCTAACAATGGTGGCTCTATTCATTAATCAAAGAACATCTTCATACCATATTCTGCAATAAGACTTTGCTGTAAACATTCATTATTCAAGTGTTATTGATATAAATATGTAAACAAAATAATATTACAAGTGTGGGATTCACAAACTATTCCCAACGGCATGTTCTCAACCTTCCTGATTCTGTGACTCTTTAATACAGTTCCTACCTTTGTGGTTACATCAATTATAAAATTACTTTTGATGCTACTTCATAATTATAATTTTTAATGTTATGAATCATAGCATAAGTATCTGGGTTTTTCAATGGTCTTAGGCATCTCCAGTTTGACTTCAAAGGAATCATGACCCACACATTGAGAATCACAGCTCTATGAATTTTAATCTGAATATTGTAGTAAGACAAGCTTCAAAAATTGTGTTTATCACTTATTTATACAACATGAAAAACTGAAACACTGGGATGCTATAGTGATGCCTACATTTAATATAAGCACTTGAGAGCCACAGGCAGATATTTTGAGTTCAATGCCAACCATGTTTCCATAGTGAGGCTCTATCTCCCACTCTCACACACAAAAAAAGAAAATTGAAAACTATATGATGTAAGTTTTTTATAATTATGAATTTCAATCATGTATTAGGAATATTATAATTTATTCACAATACATTAAAATCAAAACTACAAATGTTATTTTATGTTAATTTTATTTATTAAGAAATGTTAAAATGGATTGTTCTGGATAGCTTTATGGTAATTTGACACAAACTAATGACATCTAAAAGAGGAACCCTGAATTAATAACATGCCTCCCATTTCTGACTGAAGCAGCAATGGGGAAACATGCATGCCTCTGTGCTGTGTCTTCTGCATGAATTCTATGGTTGTTTAGGTCAAACTCCAAACAGTGGGAGTGAGGATGTTCCTGACTGTTTAGTGCGCTCTTAGGATCCTTTTTCTTATACTGGGTTGGCCTACCCAGCCTTGGTATGAAAGTTTGTGCCTAGTCTTATTGTAAATTGTTAGGCTGTGTTCAATGGACATTTTTTCAGAAGATCTGGAGTAGAGGGGAGAAGGATAGCATGTAGATTAGGAGAAGAAGATGAAGTGGAGGAAGCAGAAGAGGAAGAAGAAGGATAAGGAGGAAGAAGAAGGACAAGGAAGATGAGAAGGAAGAAGAAGAAGAAGGAGAAGAAGAAGAAGAAAAAAGAAGAAGAAGAAGAAGAAGAAGAAGGAGGAGGAGGAGGAGGAGGAGGAGGAGGAGGAGGAGGAGGAGGAGGGAATGTCTCCATGATATTGGCTTGAAGGGCTGTGGCAAGCCTGTAGAGCATTTTCTTGAGTAGTGATTGATGGAGTAGTTCTTTCTATGGTGGGTGGTGCCATCCCTGTGCTGGTAGTCCTGGATTCTATGAAAAGTATACTGAGTAAGCCATGAGGAGCAATCCAGTAAACAGCACTCCATGCTCTACATCAGTTCCTGATTGATTTCATCAAGGCCCCAATTACCATCCTGATTTCCTTCAATGTGAACACTGTGGTGAAGGGATAAGCCAAACTAAACATTTCCTTCCCAGGTTACTGGGGTTACAGTGTTTCATCACAGGAATGATAACTGTAAATAAGACAGAGATCAAGGTCGTGTTGATCAAATATGTTTGTAAATTCCTTTTAGTTCTTTTCCTTTTGACCCTAGAGATTCATGGATATGGCTTTATATGGAGTACAAATAATCACAGTAACCTAATATGTAACAATATTAATACTTAAAATGATAAATGTTAGTCTCTTTGAATTATCAATAACCAATCTATATGTGTAAATATTAAGACACCAAGTTACATCTATCAAATTGATCTAACAAAAAATTGAGATTGCAGCCCAGTATAAATTTTTGCTGCTCATAAAAAGATTCATTTTAGAAGATATTTACTAGTAAACATTTATATAATTCAAAGCTGAAAGACATGAAACACATGTTAATGTCCTTCATCCATATTAATTTTACTCTTTATGTTGTCAATCTCCTATAATAAGTAATGGGAACATTTGTCATTTAATTAATTGATTCATGTAAAGACATATGTGTAGAAATATTTTAAGTGTATTAGATGTATTCAAACACTGATGTGTTTTGTATCTTAGACATTTACAGACTGAAGATACAGTATTGATATGCCTTTATTTATTTTTAAGCATAAACTTGCAGATTCAGCCAGTAGAGACCTAGAGTAGCTTCAATTGATGAGGCACAGCTAAACTAATATACACATGTTCAAGATGACTGGATGGTATTGAAAATTAACTGAGTCCTCCTTGGGAAACATATCTGAAATCAGGTGCTGAATATGTGTCCCAAAAGACAAGAGTGAAACTTCAGTCCCAGGTCAGCTATGTTGAGAGGTGAGATAGGTAAAAAGACTCTTGGATTAATTAAGCAAATATTGTAATAACTAGACTTCACATACCTGAGAAATAATTTTTCTTCATAAATTAACAACACTCATATATTCTTTATAGAGAGACAAACTGACAGAATATTTAAACATAAATTAAAGTTTTAAATATATCTAGATATCATTATATCTTATTTTATAATTGTCCCCTTTGTAAACTTTCAGAACACTTTTATGTAACTGTAAAAAAAATGTACTTACTGATTTTAACTTAGTTTTCTCTGGATTTTATTTTTTAAGAATTAAAATAGAATGAGGCAATCCTTTGTGGAGGTAGAAGACACATTACTGGGAAACCATCCTTCGTCTTTGGTATCAAGTTCCAAAAAATAGAAAATAAAAGTAACAGGTCCAATCAATCAGCTGCTGAATACAGTATACAAACAAGTAACATTTGTTGTCTGGCCAATATATGTATAATCATGCTCATAAATTTTGAACTAGATCTGGATGAAATAAGAAAGACGGCATTTATGAAAGCAAAATAAAATTGTAAAATACCTGTGTTTTTTTCCTTATGTAGAGTGTAAGTAAATTTGGTAGCTTGGAGTCATAAAAGTAATTATGTAGTATCATTTTTGTATTAATATTTATAAGATCATTAATAAAATATGTGATGTTTTAAATATTTATAATATTGATGTATAACACCTGATATTTACCTTTGTATTTTTGTACTTGAAACAACTGTGGAGAAAACATTAGAAAATTAGTATTATAGAAGTCAAATAAAGAATTATATTTTAAAAACCCTACTTAATCCACACAGCTCACTAATTGCTGAAGTTTAAACTCCTAGAGAGTTGGACTGTGAGTAATCTTCAGGTTTCAGGCAGTGTTTGCA